TGTGGTTTTTTTTTACCATATTCGTAAATTATTGCGATGAAGTATCCGTATTGATTTTCCCCAAGCCTTCACAAGATGGCTCTGACAAACAAGATTAATTATCTATGAATTCAATTATATCAATTCATAAAATGTCTAACTTTGTCGAATGACCGCTGTGTGGTGAATATAATGGACCGAATTATCTTCCGTCCATCGGCGTACGCGTGTAAATCGGTAGGACAGCTTGTCTTGAGTTCAATAGGCAAATATGTCAAGTACTGTTCACCGCAATCCCATCAAGAAGGGGACCACTGAATTATAATTATTGTAAAAGACTAGTGGTGCAGAAATCCTAAAAATGTAATGGGGTGAAAGATATTTAATAAGGGCGCCACAATACCTGAACATCAGCCTCGATAGTGGGAGGAGGTGGAGCATTATTGGTTTTTATCAAAAAATGTTTGAAGTAAGGCATTAATTTTGTCAATGAAAATTTCGTATGGTTTGGCAGCCAAACTTCGGTCCAATTCTAAATTTTCCGATAATTTTTGGCCTCGACCCGACATCAATATAAAGTTCAGCGCCACTGCGAAAGACTGTTACAACACCCGTTCAGCCAAGCATGGTTACGACGTTTGCAAAGTGCAAACTCTTCCTGTGTTGAATATTTGAAAACTAACACCACAGAACCAACATAACTTCTCTCTCTCGGGCAGCGCCCCGAGTGTTTCAAACGTATTACCGTTTGATCCCGTCCCGGGCCGGAATCGCGTACGTTTCGAAGGTGTTTTACATTGTAACTTCGCGGGGGTGTTATAACGTTATGCGCAGGCAAATAAAAAAAAAAAATAGTATTAATATTATTATTTATGCATGAAAACCATAAAAGATATCAAACGTATTTGCGTACCGTACTTTGCAGTGTATAAATACACACACACACATATATGCGCACACACACTCGCATCGGTTGATAAATTACCTACTGTATAGTAATAGCGCGTCCACGACACCCGTTCAGACTGTTTAAATAATTTGGATAATTAAGCGCGAGCGCAACTGATTCATTGTTTTTTTATTCCTCCTCTCACAGGTCTCGTTACCGCTGCGCATATAATGTATTCTGCGCCACCGAGAGAAAAATACGGTGTCCTTTGTATATTTGCAACGTAATAAACTTTCGTACACGTCTCGCGTAATCACATATTAGAATCGTATTCGCGTTTAGCATGCGAGTCGATTTCTGAATCTGTATTAACGAACCAATTGAACGGGACTGAAAGTACTGGAAACTATTATTTCAACATCGCGCCGTGTTATGGATTTCGAATCGATTCGATACGTTTACGTTCTCTCGAAACGCGAGACTTTGCGCATACCATTAACATCATGGCGATCAGCTCGTCGTTGACGTATCAACATTTCAATGGTAAACCGAAAAACGTATTTTCTCTCGTTTCATCTTCTAAATGAACGGGGTTTTTTTTTTACAAACGAACGGTTTTTTTTTTTAATCTGTGAAAACCACGGGCGTCTACATCCGTTATACATCTACGCTCAAAAGACTATCGTTTCAAACAAGACCGGCTTTAGATACGATCGACGCGTAAGAGACGTTAAAATTAGAAATATATTTGATGAAACGTGGGCGACGCAGAAAGAATAATAATTTTCTCAACGCGATTTAATATAAATTAATTTTATCATTAATGTTATTTATTATTATATCAACACACAAGTAGTGGCTGATTTTCTTCGTATGATTTATAAACATGTGACTAGTATGGTAGTTTGAAAAATTATTTCGAATATTTTTGATCATTCTTTGATCGTCATCTGCAGGTCCCCGAATTCTGTCTGTTTAAGTTAAATGTTCTGGTCGTTTAAGAGGGAGGGGCACCAAAACAATTCTTGCACTGGGCGCCAAAAGAGTCGAGACCGGCCCTGGTTTCGAACGATATACATGAAATATTAGTGAACCGGTGGAAAACCACGTGGACGGACTGTTGTACGGCGCGGCGTATACAATGAACGTAGTACGTGGTTGAACGCGTGTAACAACAGTAACGACCTGACCCGCAGTTTTAAATTATGTACGGACGGGAAAAAAAAAAAGTGCGCTGCGTATGAGAAAAAAAAATATACGCACATAAAAAATATACATAGTACGCGAAAAATGCATAAAACCTTTTCGTCCGTTCACGCGTTTCAAATATTATATACACACGCACGAGCGTACACGTTTATATGATATTGCATTAGTACGATATACAAGTTTCCGGTGGTTGTTAATATAATATACAATACGTGTAGGTACGTGGTATTATAATATTCATAGGCGGCTAAGCGGTGGCGTACACACATGGGTGGGGGTTAACCCCCCCAGGACCAAAAAAATAAAAAGAAGAAAATTGTGATATTATTGATGACGTGTAATATATTCGTAGTTTCATTGTTACGTTTTGAACTTAAAATATACAACTATACAAATATTATAATAATTAATTAATTATATTGATATATGTTTGAAAAGTTTTGTTAACCATGCTGTTTTATATTCCTATAGCTACTAATTTACTGTAATGTAAAAATAAACAGTAAATTGATAAAAAAAATTGTATAAAATAATATATATTTATAGCAGTTATTTATCTGTGAAACGAAAAAAAAAAAATAAAACGATTATTTTTGCTAACCCTTCCTAAACAATTTACTCCACTGCGGTCCACGATAGTATGCGTTGTTGTCCGTTTCACGAAATGGACTACGTTTGGATCGCTTTTGCAAAACGCAACAGCTATTTTTCCACTTCGCGTAAATATGAAACGGATACCTAAACCACTGGACGACGGGACTTGTTCTGTCGTTTGGATGTCCGAATAGTAAAACGGTAAACTTTACTTGTTTAAAGAAATTTGCTACCTATTCAATTTTTTTAAATATACTTAAATTTCATTCCAAGAATACACAATACATAATATAATATAATCATAATACATTATTTAATGAATTTAAAGACTATATTAAATTTATTAGACAGTTAATGGTTTAATAAAAATTGTTTATAACAACAAGCCACACCTTAAATTAAAAAAAATACAATTATTTTAATTAACACCACATTTTTTTATATAATAAATATCATAATATAATAATAAAATAATTTTAATTTTAAGTCCTAGTAACAAGTAACAATACATTTAGCATATTTATTTAATGTATAATTTTGTATTTTTATATTTTAGAGTGTGTTAACTTAATTTTCTCGTCATTTCTGTTTTTTTTTTTTTTTTTAATAGAGCATATAAGAAATGCTTTTCAGCTATGTGAAGAACGTCAAATTCTTCTAATAAATAATATTCATCTCGAGTTTTCTTATTTCTAAATATTTAAAATGTATTAATTAAATTTAAGATTTGTTCAAAATTATTTATTAAAAAATGTTAGTAATTAAACGATAGTTTTAATAAGTAACTTATTAGATTTTGCTTGTAATACTTCATCAAACAGGCCATTAATTTCATCGGTGGTTTGAGGTTTTTTACCTGATTTATTTGTACTTAGATAAGTATAAAACAAATCAAGTTTCGTGTAACGTTCAACTTTTCGTCAAACAACATATTGTCTTTGAAGTCGAAAATCAGTAAAACTGAATTTTATGCGAAAAAAGTGTACACAATATTTTACGCTTGTCAGCGTTAAACTTATCTCGAAAATGAAAAAATATTATGTATAGGTGAATATTATTGATACTTTTCTGTACTTAAATAGAAACCATTATTTTCCTTTTTTTTTTTTTTTTTTTTTTGTTGTAAGTGGTGAATCAAATCATAAAATCTATTCATAAAAAATATCTTTTATATTTCCCATTTTTATGATTGACAATGATATGCTTAATTTAAATCAATATTAAAAATAACACATTTAAACATCGTTGATCTACAGTTTGTATAAGTGTCAACGTATACGAAGATATACCCAGCAGTTTTATGTTAAAAAATCGGATTTTGAAATATCGAAATTGTACTCCAGCGATAACGATAATAATAACTGAGCATATATCTCAGTGATTTTTTTTAAAAAAAAAAAAAACAAATTTCGAAACAATATTATGACAATCGAAACATCTTACATTTTAATATTATTGAAAATATCTTATAGCAGACATCGCGTTTCAAGTTCGATCAAAATTCACCAAACACTAATTGTAAATTTCCACAAGTACAGTACATACGACGAAGGCTAGTTCGGCAACATTCACTACTATTTTTGGTATATTTTGATATCACACTGGTAACTGTCAAATCTAGTCTAATCTGATCGGCTGCGGCCATAAATCTTAACATATCTATACAAATATTTATATATATGCGCAGTAAATTTTCTATAAAGGTTGCAACGAGTTGTACCCCAAATACGGAGTTGTGTTCGGTGGATTATTTTGGGTTACATGAATCATGTCCAGAAAAATAAAGTGTACAGATTAGATCTATACAAATTGATACATTTTTTAATTACAAAACTACACACATATTATGAATATAACATTTCAAACAAGAATAAAAATTATTCCGTATCATTAATTTATAATAATAATAATAGTATGTCAATATAATATCAGTAATAAAAATAATAAAAATAATGATAGAAGTAAGTATTAGCAAAATACAATAACATCAATAAAAGTATGAATTAAAATCATGAAATTTGTCCATTACACTATTATACATATATATGTTACGGTAAAAGATGAATATTGGTGAATGTCGTTATTATCCGGTAAATGACGTCTTTCACCAAAATGATTCGATTATGTAGGTAAATGATGTAAAAAACCAGATTTTAAATTCAAATGTACATTTTTCACCGGTCATTGATGTCATTTACCAAAACTGGTGGTAAATGATGATAAATCTCAAATAATACACTGATTTTTTTACTATAGGTACTATTTATAATAATGATTTATTGTTAAAATAAAAAAATAATAAAATAATAAAATACGCGCATATTACAAATTATTTATTTGTACAATTTTGGTTACTATGAAATGTTGAACTGCACAATATTTCCACTGCATTGCAATCACATTTTTTAGTACCACAACCAGTTTTGCAGTTGCATCGATTAAATCCTTGATGACCAGCTATTCCATGTCCTGCTGCTTCTCTTAATGTTATTTCCCTGTCTTTAATTTTTTTCATGGCTTCATCTAGCTCTAGAAATTTTTCTTTACATAGAGAAATTTGTGCTCGTGTATATTTGTGTTTCAACACCCCATATTCTGTCATTTCTGTCACAAATTTTTACAAATAATATTATAAAACACACATTCGTAGCAAATACAACTCGCTATAATATACCCGTCGATACTAACTAATAAACTAAAAGATTATCTCACGTTATTATTCGGGTTATCGACGTTATTGCTAGTTGAGATTTTTGTTTATAAAAGTATTAAACATCATTCTCCAATTAAACTGGTGATTGACGACAATAACCGGAGAATGTCTGCATTTACAACGTTTACCAATTTTTAGGTAAATGATGTCATTTACCGGGGAATGACGTCTTTTACCACGTTTACATCATTCACCGTAACATATATACGTAGAAATTTCACACTAGAATATATTTTTTGAAAAAAAAAATTGAAATAAAATTTCATATTGTCATATTTTAAATTAATATAAATAAAATATAAAAATAATTACATATTTGCCGAGAATGTATATGATACTCTTTGTATGAATCAACATCTACAAATTTGTCCATTTTCATTAATTTTTGACTAATACATAATTTTTTTCTCACTTTGTCTTTGATACTATTCTAGTTATTATAATTTTAATATAAATATCATATTGAAAATTGTTAAGACTTCGATAAATTGAAAAATATTGGATTGGCTTGAATAAAACATGAAATTAAATTTAGAGTGAAATGATTCACAGCTGTTATTTTTTTATTTTTATTTACAACTAGTTAACTACGGCTGTAAACACTTTTGATTTAGTTTAAACCATGAATGAAAGTTGGTAAAAGTTTAAAGTTAAATATATCGTACTGTACGCAAATACAACACAGGCGTACGATTCCGGTTATTAAGATACACGTATTGCATTAAAATAGAAAATCGCTAATCGTGGTTAACGCACAGATGCTTTGTCAACTATAATGGTGTACCGTTAAACGTTGGATTTCCTAATTTCATTCAATAGTATACGTTTTTACACACTATTGATGTTCATTACCTGAATGCGTTCGATTTGTTTTCCGGGTAATTTACTGTATTATCTTTACGTGTAAAGTGTAAACTCACACGTTGCGTACACGCAACACACGGAAAATAACAACTTCTCTGTTACATTTTTTTTATGATTCAAATTACATCCAACCATTTGAATACTCCGACCAAAACTTGTATATTATTCTCAAAGTTATTTAATAAAAACAACAATGCCGTTTCTTTGTAAACATGTAAACTGTACAGAGGAATAATGTTTAAAATAAATTAAACTGTTTTACTTAACACATTATATCAATAAAATATTCATAACATCAAATATCATATTACCTTTGCTTGTCAGCAGTTTAGCATATTGAAATTGATAAAATTTAATTTTATTGAACTTAATGTTAATAATAGTAATAATAATTTATTTATAACGGAAAAAATTTCAATTTACATTGAAAAGAATAAAAGCTATGACATATAATTATAAATATGATGGTAGGTACATAGTACTTGTATAATAAACTGTATATAAAAACAAAAAAAGAAAATAATAATATAATATAAGTAAAAGACAATCAATAATTAATGTAATATAGAAATTATTAGGAATACATTAAAATAATTTATTTAAATATAAGAGTGCTGCGTGAAAAAAATCTATATTATTTGTGCTATTCGCGGCTGACATCAAAATATAAGAAGGTGATAAAGAAAGGTAAAGTTTTTTGAAATACTGGGTAAGTAAAATATGGTTTTATTTCTTGAATTAGGAAAATTAATTTTAAAATTTAAACGATCTATTAATTCCTGGACAGTCATTAAGATTATTTAATAATTTAAGTAGAAACTTGAACAGGTACTAGTTATTTAAATCTTTTATCCAGAGGCATTATTGTGAAAAAATTACGTGCAATATCGTAGCTTAAATGAGGAGTTCTACGTATATTGCATTGGTAACATAAAAATTGCAAAAAATTATTTTAGATTTGCAAGAGACATTGTGATTGATTTGTGTTATATCTCCATACTAAGCATGCATACTCTATGTGAGAACGCACTAATGAAAAATATAACAATTTAAGAGCGATATCGTCATGAAAATCTCTACACATACGTTTAATAAAATTTAATTTAGCAAACGATTTATTGGTAATAACATCGATATGTTTTCACATCCGTTTGAAGAAGAACTGCGTCATCATAGCAACGAATTTGTTATTCTTACGACGTTAGTTCATTTCGAAGAGATGTCGTATATTCACGTTGTTTTATTGTCTGGCCCGAAGCACAGCGAATGTTGCTTCATTCAGATGAAGTCTATAAATTTACCTGTAATCGTTAAATGTTGAGAACCTCCGATGAACTGTGTAGAATAACTTTTAAAGGTCTTAGTTTTTCAGTTGAATTTTTTTTTTCTTTATTTCTTTATTACGGAAATAAATTCCAATTACAGTTTTTTTTTTTTTTTCATATAATGTATATAAAATATATTGTACACGTATTAACAGTAAATGAATTATATATAACAATAATTTTAATAACAATAATAATAATAATAATAATAATAATAACTTAAAATTAGTGGTAACTTTACCCATACGTGAACACAAAAGTACGGATACATTTGTATTTAATATTTTATTAAAAATATCATTAATTTGAGTCTTGTTGGATGATTGAGGTTGATCAGAATTATTACTCTCGGGTAAATTGAAGACTATAATATTATTTGCTCGCATTTGTCTGTCTATTAATTCGGAAATAATGTTTTGTTCCGGAGTGGTTGAGTTAGATAGTGTATTATTTTTTTCTTCGAGAGCTTCAACTTTTCCTTTTAAAACTTTATTATCTTCTGATAGAGTAGAAACCGTTTAAAACAATTCTTCAAATATATTGTGTAATTTATTAAATTTATCACTTTGATTATTCAAGGGAGAAATAATTTTACTTTGCTGAGATTTTAAACCTTTTATTGAAGCTATGATTTCGTTACATTTTCTCTCGTCCATGATAAACTATAGGTATGAAATATGTGATTAACAAAATAATATGATTACAGTGTATGAAAGAGATAAGAGAACACACTTTATACACGACCTTCTCGATCGACCGATATCTGTAGACGACTTTAGATAAGATAATAGAATTTGCCTGTACCCGGTATTAAAATGGATTAATGACAAATTGAACTCTTATTCTTCAGATGTATAATTGATTTAAAAAGCCTCTTTTTATTGAAAATTACATGTTAAATGTTGGCTGTTTATTGAGATATGCATTAGCTGATCATTTTTTTTTAGTTGGGAAACTTTTGGTGTTTCTTGCCCTTTCCACTTTTCTGTTGTTTTATTTTCTATTGATGTATTTGTACTGTTACATTCCAATCGTATATGATTTTATCTAGTATCTTCTCTTTGATATGTAGCAGCCAATAAAATGTAATACTTTTTTACTTAGCTGACATCGATGCATATCAGTTGGTGCGTCTCTATTAGCACACAAAATTTCATGTTCATCAAGCACTAAGCTATTTGAATAAACATTGTGGTGGTTAGAACTATGAGATAGAGATAAAAGTGTCAATGTATTAACAATGGCATTAAATTTCAGAATTACATTTGATATTAAAGTCATGATTAATATTATTAAAACTGGAATTCAATTGTATAGTGATTATTGGTTTATTATTAAATCTCAAATTGATACCAGGGTTTTCTTCATTAAGAGTAATAGTCATAGAGTTGTTTTGAATACTAAAATTTAAATTTTCAGCGATATGCAAATTATTTGCTAAATTGAAAGTTACTTGATTTTGAGAGATTTTATGTATATCATTCTGCTTTTGCGATATTCCTTGATGCAATAAATTATCAACTCTATAATAAGAAATTATTTTTTTATAAAAAACTGTTCACGCTTAGTGGCATTACTTTTTTTTTTTAAAAGTCTATTTTTTGACTGATTAAAATTACTATCAACTTTGGAACTAAAAACAAATGGATCCCTATAGTAAAAACAATAAAACCATGATTGACGAACAGCAAGTAAAGAGTTGCATTGCATTGATTATGTATATTTCAAGTTTTATTTAAAATTGTGCATTGTGACCAATACCTTTAAACAATTAATTTTTATATTTACAATTAAATAATCTATTTTCTATTGACTTTGCTCATTCCTTGATTTATCTTATACACTTAAATTCATAAATTTCCTTTTTATAAAGACCAATATCAAATGTGTTTGTTTGTTCGATATTTTTTTCATTGAACAAGATATTGATTATCATTTTACTTTCTCTTATTTTTTCTCTCTAACATTTTTTAGACTTATGACATGGCGTGAATTAATTAGTGCCAATAGTTATAATATTAAATTAACTGAATACAACAATAATCATGGCCTCTAAAATTTATTTTGCTTCACTCATACTAATAGTTTGTATTTTTATACAAGATAATAAGAACATAATTCTTTGATACTGAAGTGTTTAGCTTTTTTGAGAGTAGCCATTGAGTTACTAAATTAAAAAAATTATAGATATCATTTCGTGAAGAAACATTTTGATATTTCAGCTATTATATTGATGTTAATTAAAAAAAAAAAACATACTTCCAAATACTTTTCAAAGGAATTATGTTGCAGAAAAGCTTGCACTATCCTAGACATCAATGATGAAGAATGTATCAGATACAGCTACTTTAGAAGGTTTCACATCATGTTTAAGATAGCGTTTAAGCCATAAAGAAATAAATAGATTATCTTGCTATTCTAATTACATAAATAAAACCATTAAATTTGTCATCAAATCAGTTTATCGCACCTTCATATAAAAATATCAACTGTAAATGTTGTCTCAACAATTGTAGTTTACATTCTGTAAATAATTTCCACGGGCAAAGAATCACCTAAAGCAATTTTTTGCATGAAGTTATTACATTTAGTTAAATTGAAAAACAATGATTTTTAAAAATACGAAGCACTGCGTATTAATCCAGATGCTGGGTACCACTTCGACGTTTTTACAGCACTCAGACTGGGATTCGGTTTTGCTTAAAAAGTAAAAGAACACGATTTTATTTAAGGAGGGTACGATGGGTACAAGTCGAGTAAAAAAAAAAATAAAATAGATAAGAAAGGGAGGGGG